TCAACCCCAGGAGACAGAGCTCCAGAGCATAGTATGCAGGGTGCCCCTTAGGACAGTGTCACGGTGCCTTAAATCTTTTAAATTCCATCAGATGCAGGGACAGCTCCAGGTGTAGGTCCAGGTGGTGGCCCAAGTTGGTCACCTTTGGAACTAAGAAATCTGCTTCCACGCAAAGTCTGTCCATGGACAGGAAAAGTAAAAGGCTGCTGTTGAGCTTGGTGCAGGGAGAGACCTGGTCATGGTCCCCAGCTGCTGGGCAGCTGAATTCCGTTCTGTCCGAGACAGAACACATGCAGCAGAGAAACCCAGGGCCAATTGTTCCAGAGAGCAGACTAAACATTCCATCTGGAGCAGAGCGGAGAACGCCTGAGGTTTTGAATACTGCAGCCAGGGCGAGGGGGTAAGGTGGCAAGGAGCCCTAGGAACCCTGAAGAACTGCAAAGCGGCCCCTGCATCACCTCCCAGGGAGCTGGGGTGAGCCAAAGTGCCGGGGAACCATGGGGAAACTCAGTAGGGAAGCAGCGCAGTCCGGGGTGTCCAGGCAAGAAGCAGTTGCCCATCCCAACACCACTGGCAGCTTTGTGGTGGACACCAAGCACCACTAAAGGACCTGTCAGTGCATCTCAGCCAGGGGACCACCAGGGCACCTGCAGGTGTATCAGGAGCTGGGTGTGGCACTGGACTGGAGACCCAGGGCTCTTCCAGGTAAAGCCAGCCAGGGCCTGGAGGCCTCTCCACCGCACTTCAGGATTGATCATTCAGGAGGTGGGCAGAGCTGGGGCCCAAGGCCATATGTGCATGAGCTCACTCCCTTCCTGTGTCCCGGATTCTGGTGCACAGTGTTACTCCATGTTGACTCTCTTCACACAGCGTGCACCCCTATGCAGGCTGAGCTGGGCCTGACAAAGACCGTCCCCTGTCTCCCCATTTGCATGACACAGCTCAGGGTCTCCTCTGCTCCGAGTCTTTGAGGTGTTTCTTATTATTGATCTGGAGCCATCTTGATTACACTGTCCCTTGGGAAATCCATAAGTCATCATGCCTTGTCAGTCACCGAGTGATTCCTTAGCTCTTCTTTCAATGACATTTGGTTTTAACTAATAAATAAAACCACAAAATATTTGCCTGTAAGGGAGGACCACATGATACTTCAATAGTTGGGTATAATGTCATTTGGTTATGCAATCTTCTCCTTGAGCATTCATAATTTAGGGGGAAATGTATTTCCCTGGACCGGGAGAGCCGTGTCTGGGATCACAGAGTCCCATTTGGAGGTAACAGGGGCTGGGTTTTAAATACACTAATTCTGAAAGAGCACAATTCAACCAGCCCGTAAGACTTCTTATTATAGCAAAACCTAGTGGCTTCAACCACACAGTGGAATCTGCTCCCAGAAGGGTCCTGCACCAGGGTGGGCTGGTACCAGGCTGCTGGGATTTGGCCTGGAGGACTCAGGGGGACCTGGCTGGCCATCTCCGCAGGCCCTGGTACTTCATGTGTACTGCCTGGGCCAGATTCTTTTGGGATGAGACTGTGACCCAGCACCCATGTGGCCTCTCTGCTGACTTGGGGTCACCACAGCGAGTGACAGTGCCACTTCCACTGGTCTCCAGTGGATGAAGCCGCTACTCACTCTCAGATCAGAGCAGAAGAGGATGACATTTTACCTGAGGGTGACATGGAGATGGAATGTGAAAAATTATATCTCCCAGCCTGGTAGATGTGAATTCCAACCACACTGAGTTTGTGCTAAAATCAAAGAATGAATTCTAGGAACAACGGAGGCTATGGGTAGGAAAATATTTACTGAGCAATAGCTCCTGAGAGGTTGGGGGAACCCCAAAGGGTAATGGGGGGCTCTATAGGGAGATTTTATAGAGCAAAACCCACATGGGTACCACGTGGGTTACAGCAGCGGTTAGCTGATAAGGGCACTCAGTGGGGAAACAAGTCACACAACAAGTGTGTGCAAAAAGAATGAAGACTCTAGGAAATAGTGGGTCTGGAGGTCTTGGTCACTCACCAAGGTGACAGTTGTCTGTGAGGCTTCACTGGGCCCAGAGTCTGTCTTTGAAAAGTGCAGGCCTGGTCATCTCTTCTTTGCCTTGAGGCTGGTCTCCAACAGTCGCATCTCTGATCTTGGTCCCAACTCTCGAGGACCTCTCCCACCTATTAACCTAGCTGGATACCCTAATGGGGGAGTGGCATGTCTGTGGGGAAGTGTGTGTGGCAGGAGGCATGGCCATGGTCATGTTTAGGTCATAACATCACCGCACACAGCCCTGGTCTTGGGGGACTAACCCTTCATCTGTGAAACCGGCTGTGTAGTCCATGAATCCCGCGTGCCACTGGGCTCACTCTAAGTCCTGCTCTTCACTGGTGCTGGGGTTGGCCTGTGGTCTCCACGCAACATGCCTGCGTCCACCACTGAGGAGCTGCAGGGGTAGGAAGAATTTTAGGTTTGCAAAATCAAAAATTTGCCCCTCAATGCTGTAATACTATGACTAACATTCCAGTCTTCTTAACATCCCTGTGAATTACCCATCTTCTATTATTTATTGTGTGCACCAGAGAGTTAGAGTTTGCTGTCCTGTTTCTATGAAAATGCACCCATTGGTTCCTCTGGGCTCGCTTCTTTATCTTTTTGACCTGGGTGCTAAGTTTATTTTTATTTCTTTAATGCTTCATAGTTAACCCTGCAAGGATGAGAAGTTCACCTCAAAGAACAGATCTGGTTACGATTCCTGAGTTTTGCTACTCAGTGTTTTATTTTTCAATAATCATTTCTCAATGTTTTAATTTCAAAATAATCTGTAATGCCCTTCAGCCTCCATGTTTCAAAATTTGATTTGCAGTGGAGGAAGTAGCAGCCTGGCCCCGAACGCGGCAGTGCGGTGGCGCCGGTTTCAGTCCTTCCCTAGCGCTCTGTGTGCTGCCAGGGGCCTCTGCCTGTCCCCGTGTGTGCTCCCGAGGAGTCCGAATGTCACGCTGTGTGTGTGGAAGTCCTTCACTGATTTCTGTGGTGTGTGTTTCTGTCTTCTTGACCGTAATGCTAAGTGTGTCTGTGACCCTTCTATGCCTCACCCCTAAACCAGCGAGGACCCGTGGTTGCCCCCAGGGATGGCTCGGCTGACAATCCTTGGCTTTTGCCACTTTGAAGTCTCCACATTTTATTTTCAAAATAATCTGTTCCTCGAATTTTTAATTGCCTTTTGACCTGAGAGTGATTTATAGGAATTTTATTCTACAGTTTTAGTAAAATGAGAAAATTTTACTAAAGGAAAGAACAAAACAGAATAAAACCTTCTGACATGGTCCTTCATTCAGACTGATCAATTGCTATTAAAATGCAGTGATTCTTCCCGCAATTCAGATAATTATGAGTAAGCGATTAGAGCTGGGGCAAACCAGGCCACTGACTGGTTAGAAAGTCTGAGAGATCACAAAAACCCGCGGCCATGGGTTGAGTTCCCTGAAAAGAGCGCAGACCCAGCCACAGGGCCTGAGCCCTGCGCATACACTGCTGGGAACAGAGCTGCTTTCAATCCGTGCTCCAACTTGGGCTCAATTCAAAGAACCAATCAGAAGACGCTATTCTCAACCCTTCATTTACATGTGGGCACAGCCAATCAAAAGCCGTTTTGTTTCGGGTTCTTCATTTATACCTGAACAGGTCAGGCCATGTTTTGGATAGGGCCAATTACTGCCTGGCCAAGTGAGCATTCCCCACAACAGACGGCCCAGAGCCTTGGTCCCTGAGGTAAAGGTCAATCCAGGATTTCAGGCACTGAGGACCCCTCTCACTTTGTCCTTGGGGGCCCCTCTGAGCCTGCGTACCTGCCCGCTCTGGGCTGAGGACCCAGGAAGAAGCCCATAGATCCCCCGCATCCAACTGCAGTGGCACATACGTAGATGTGTGCGTTCTTCATAAGAAAGGAAAACAAGCACAGCTGACTGAAATCTGCGATCGCTCACCGCCCTGGATTATGTGCACACCAAGCTAGCACATGTCTAGGCTTGTGAGTTTCTTCCTGATAAATGGTCCTTTGAATGTTGCATTTCACTCCGGTCCCCACCAAGGGCCATTTCTGTCCTTGTCCTGGAGATGTTGCTCTGAGGTCTCCAGCAAGCCCCCCTTCCTGCCCAGGTGAGGGGTCCCACAGGTTCCTGATGGGGAGAGTGGCTCGGTTGATACCAGCTTTTCTAATTGTTACAAACGCCATCTCGGTGCTCTTCGGAGCTCCCATGGCAATGCATGCTGAGAGGCTGCTGGCATGAACGTAACCTTTTATTAGTAATAGGCAGCTTCGGAGTGATCAGAGTATCAGATTATAGTCTTATAGTGGGGAGCAATGTAAAAACAATTGCTCTAGTTGGCTATACTCTCCTTGCTTTTCTAACATTTTACTTGGAGTTTTTTTTTGTCTTTTTGAAACAGGGTCTCTCTCTGTGGTTTAGGCTGGCCTTGAGCTCACTTTGTAGTCTAGGCTGGTCTCAGACTTGCAATGATCCTCCTGGCTCAGCCTCCCAGTGCTGGGATTACAAGTGTGAGTCATCATGCTTGGCTTACTTTGAGTTTTGACCCTATATTTTAGTCCATTAAATGAGTGTTCTATTTTCAATCAAGACTCTCCTCTTTATCCACTCTAAATAACATTAGATAAATTTGATTTTTTCCTAGTTCTCCTAAAGTTGTGTTCCATTGTAGGATTCCATTGGTTTCCTTTTTTTCCTTTGATTTGCTTGGATCTTTGACCCTTGTATTGGTTCCACCCCTGATATTACAGAGTATGTTACATACTCTGTGGTCCTTTAATGTCTCACTGGCCAAGAGAGAAATTTAAGGGCAGTGTGATCTTTGTTCCTTTGTGGATCACTTGGTTATGACCTGAGCGCTTGTGGAGATTTCTTTATGATTGTAATAAAAACTCAGCACCCAGATGTTTATTCTTTGGTTTTTCTCTAACTTTGTACTTCACTCTGTACTTACAAGGCTTTGCTTTAATTGCGTTTTCATTTTCTGCTGAGTACAAACTGCGTCTTTGGGATTCTCTCCTGGCTGGTTTGGAAGAGCACTCTCGTCCCTCCCGAGTGGCAGCGCATGTGCTCCATGGTATCAGGTCCTGACTTCCCTGTGCCGGTGGGTGGCAGTTCTGGGAATTCCTTTCTCTGCTTCTCTTCCCCTCACCTAGCAGCAGCTTGGACTTCTCCTTTGATTGGATCTGCAGAGACTTCCTCGTGTGTCCTAAGGCAGCCTGGATACCCCTCTGGGTATCATCTGCCTGGATTTGAGACCACTCCCTTCCTCTAGTTAGGGCAATGCCTGGCCCCTTCCCTCACCTGTCCTCTGGTCTGTGGGCTGCAGGTTGTGCTCACCCCAAGAGCGTCACTGTGACCAAACATGGTAGGTCAGAGAAGAGTCCAACATCGGGAGGTAAGGGGCAGCTGGTGTCTCTGTCCTCTGTGTCCCTTGGGAGGTCTGTTGAAAGTTCCTCTGAAGCTAGCTGTCCCTAACAACAGAGACTTCTGCTCCCTCAAGCCTTTGCCTGGCCCATCTCTTCCCAGATGTCAGGGTGACAGTGCCTACAATTCTTGGGTCTTCAGGTCTCCATGCCCCTTCCTCATCATGGTGTGGCTTTGTTTTCCTTCTTGTCACACTATGTGGCAAGTCTCTGAGAATGAGGGACTGTGTTGTCATCTTAGGGTGGCCCAGGACCTGTGAAAACTCCTAGTTACCACCCCCGTCTGGGAGAGTTGTGATGCCCCCATTGTACCCTCTGGGAGGACAGGAGGAGTGGACCAGCAGCAGTGTCCCCCTGAAGGGTGGGGCTTTTGAGCATCTGGAGTCTCTGAGCGGTACTAGGGCAGAAGTCTTCCCTGCCTGGGTGGACAAGCTCTGTGACAAGTCGCTGTCTTGTGTGCAATGTTGAGAGACTGTCCCAGAGACTGCAGGCTACAGTTACATTCTGTGACACAGTACTCGTGGATTTCCTGAAAGTCCCATTTCATTGCTTTTAGGTAGACATTTAAACATTGCTACCCTCCAGAGAGCTGTTGGATGTCATCAGTTCCTTGAAACTCATCACGGACTAATTCTGTGTGGTGAATGCCTGACATCAGGGAATCCTAGCCGGTGGAGGGTGCCAAAATGTGAGTGGGTTTAGGGGAAGAAGCCCCTGGCTCTGCTGCCCAGCTCTGTGGGTGACCAGAACATGTGGGGAGGGCTAACGGAGCTCTTCCCACCCGAAGAGCGCTGTGGATGAAAGGTCCTGATTAAAATAGAAAATGCAATGCTGAAGGAAGCCAAGGTCTCACTGCTGCGTGTGTGTGCTGGAATTTTGTAGCCCAGAGCCGCAGCAGAGTGCGGACTCTATCTGGGCAGTTTCCTTGGTGCTGGGGATGGGCCCTGTAGACGGAGAGGAGACGCTGGGCTGCCCTACACCCCGCACAGCTTCTGCACTCACAGCCAGCAGGGGGTGGCCCACAGCGCTGCTGTGCTCCTGCATGGTGCTCTGCTATTGTTCTGTGCCAATGACCTCTGCGCAGTGAGCTGTCCACCTTCCACAGGGGACGGTGCAGGCCAAGCGCACATCTTCGCTTCTGGCCCTCAGCACTGACCCTGCACCCAGCAGGCGGCCAGTGAAGCCTGAGAGCATCTTCCTGGTCCCTTTCCTTCCAATCTCTGTGCAAGGACTGGGGACCCTGGCTGAGGTTCTCCGGAGATGTCCTCGGTGAGGAAAGTGGAAGGGGAGGGGAGAGCCCCCCGATCTAGTGTTCCTCCAAGTTGTTTGGATTCTCCTGATGTTGGCATCTATTTATACTTTGCCCTCAGGAAACCTGTTTCCCAGGGAACACCTTGCCTTGTTAATGAGTTTCACAGAATCTGCTATCTTCCTGGTGCTCCCTCGCTTATTCTGTTACTGTCACAGTGGTACTGGGAATTGAATCCCAGGTCTTTGACTGAGCTGTATCCCCGGCCTGTATTTTATATTTTATTTTGAGACAGGGTCTTGCTAAGTCTAGTTGCCCAGGTTGTGCAGGAACTTGCAATCCTCCTGCCTCAGCCTCCTAGTGTTCTGGGATCACAGGCTTGTGCAGCCTTGCCAGGCTTGTAAGTCTGGTTTTCATGCATGTGGCTCTGTGTAGCATCTTGGGCATGCCTGCCATGGTAATAAAGGTGGTGTCTGCCTACAAAATGCATCACTTTTCATGAGCAACATGCTGAAAAGGAGTGTCTGTGCCTGCCAAAAGGGTAGTTACCTTTAGAAGTGACAAGTGTGGGCTTTTATCAGCTGCTCCCTTTGTGGAGGGATGGGAGCTGGTGGCCTCTCCTACCAACCGGAAGACCCTAAGGGAGCTGTGGCCCCGAGCAACAGCAGACAGCAATCTCACACCCTCATAATGAGCTCCACTAGATGATGATTAATTAGCCCAGCCTGGGTGTGCGGCCTGGAACACGCTCCTTCATTATGCGTGACGCTCTGATGAAATGTGGATTTGGGGATCATGAGACCTGACAGCGCTTACACAAGCCGTGATCCTTTGAAGGGAATTTTAATAACAGTGGTTGATGGAGGCCGAAGGGAAAGTTCTCAGTTATCCAGGAATGCCCTCGTGTCCCTTGTCCTGTAACTACGAGAGTTACACACGTCACTCCAAGGCACACGGTTTGTTTACAGCTCAGGGTCGTGGGGCTGCTCTCGGACCACAGGTGAAACAACCGAGTGCTTCCCCCGGCAGAAGCAAGCTGCCTGGGGGAAGGGTGACTGGCTCGGCTGCTAATTCTGATCCTGCTCTACATTCAGTGGTGATGTCAGAGAAGCAGAAGGGGCACCCTGCCATCTCACTGCCACCGCCTCTTGTGGCTGCATGAGCAAGCAAAGGACCGGGGCTCTGGTGATAATACACAGAGACAGAAAACACGAGAAAGGAGCCCACACAGGAGCACTGAGAATGCAGAGGGAGGTGGCGCAGGCGGGATCAGAAACAAAGCCTTGGGGGACCCTCAAGTTAGAGGATCATACTAGGGAAGGCTGGGCTGACCAGCTGAGGCTGGGCACAGTCGGTGCCTGCCCCTTGTGTGGGCCTTCATTGTAAGGGCTGGGGCAAGGCTTTGCCTCTGTGTGTGGATCACACAGTCACAGCACTGGGAGGTCTCAGGGAGCCTCCCCCTCTCCCCATGAAACCCACAGCTCAGCTGAGCGGTCACATCCAGCATGCATTTAATGGATAGAATCATCTGGTCAACTAATTGCTGAGGTCAGGGGCAAAAGTGCCTGCACTATTCAGTTTCTCGCTGTTCTTTGGTGTGGTGGTTACTTTTCTCTCACTGCTGAGACAAAATACCTGATGTCCAAAGTCAAAGAGGGAAAGGTTTGCTTAGCTCGTAGTCTGTGGAAATTTCAGTCCATAATCAGCTGGCTCCAAGGCAGGGGGAGCGTAGCAACCGTTCTTGGTGTTGGAAGACTGCAAAAGCAACAGGAGCAAAAAGGAGCATGAGAAAGACTCAGTCCCTTATACTGTATGCAGGTTGCCCACTCTGGGGTAAGTGTAGCATTCACACCCAGAATCCCAACATCGGATCATGACTCAGTCACAGATCCTAGAAGCCTGCTCTCATGACTGCATGAGGCTTTGGGGGGACACCCAGACACAAACCATAGTGGATCACAGGGTCTTCCTTCTGTGATGTCTTCTTGCTTCTTCTGGAGTTCTGTGAGAGTGCCGAGCACTGGAGCTGCTGGAGAGAAAGGCTTCAAGGTCAGACTCAACTCCTCTCCCCAAGTGTATGTCGGTGCTCCTGGAATCCTGTCCCTCCCGCTCTGGCTGGTTTGTCCCTTGGTCCCACTGCACTCCAGCTGGAAGAAAGGGATTTGGGTCAGGAACCCATCAGGGCTATCCTCCCTGTCCTCAGCATCCACCCATCCAGCTCCCCGGGGGCTCTGAGAGTCTTGGGGCTCCTGCCCTTGTGACTTGGAGCTAAAGGGTCCAGGCTGTACTTGGGTTTCAGAGGTTTTATAGACCACCCCCCACCCCACACACCACCACCAGGGATTCCAGCCTGTGCTTGTTTGGAAATTACTTATTTAATAGATTGCTCTCATTGTCCCTATTGCTGGTATTATTCTCCATTGGATGTGCTACACACAGTATTAGGTCATAAATGTTTACTGTAAGTGATAGAATTTTATCTGTCCCAGAGAGCTGGAAGGGGTTTGGTACAGATCTTACATGGGAGGATGCTTTTGTTTACTCAGTCATGCATGTATAGTATTCTGGAGGGCTGTGGACTCCTGTGTGGACCTTTTCTGAAGGGAAGAGAGTGGGCTCCTGCTGGGTCTGGCCAGGGCTGGAGTGACCTTCAGGCCACAGGCAGGGGGCATCAGGGGTCTGAGGGAGAACTCTCATCTTCAAAGTGTCCCTTCTACTCTTCTAATGCTCAGTTCTTGGGATGAAACAGCCACACTTTGATCTCAGGCCTGCAGTGGACCCTAAAGCTGTGCAGAGGACCTTTGTTCAAGAGTTTGCTAAATCCTGCCTCTGCCCAGCAGGCCTGTGGATGAACCACAAGGTTAACCATACCTGAGCCCTGTGCCTTGCACCGTAGCAAATTCCTCTTCTTCCTATCTTCTTACTATGGGTTTTATGATGTCTGTCTTTACAAGCAGAAGATCTGCTGTGGGTTTTGTCGTTGTGCTGTGTCAGTCTTCACTGGAAAAGAACTCACACTACTTATCCTGCTTAGAGAAGGTACAGCATTGATGTGTGTGACTGTGAAATGCTGTAAAATGCTAAAGCGGTGTATTTTCCAGACACAGAGCCTCGTGAAGTCTTGATTCAGTGGGGTTATCTAGCCGTAGCTTTCCTATCATCTATATTTGACCTATTAGGCACACACTTGTCAGTGCTAATTATGAATGGATGCAGGGAATCTGTCACTCTATTGAAATTCTAGCCACAATTGCGCAGTTACAGGGAAACTTAAAGCATTCAGAAAATCAGCTTTAAAAATATCTGTGAATATCTGTGTCAGAGCTGGGGATTTAGCTCAGCGGCATAAGCACCTGCCTTGCAAGTGTGTGGTCATGAGTTTGATTCCTGGTATCAATTAAAAATAAATAAATAAATAAATAAATAAATAGATCTGTGTTAAAACTATACATACAAAAAGGAAGATAGATTGGTAACATTAAGTCCAAAGCCACACTTATGCAAAGTTCGGGGGGAAATGTCACATTTTCATATGTGCTGTGTAGGAGAAGCTGAGGTGTGTTGGGTTTGGGGGGCTAGCTCCAGGAGGTGAGAGTTTGCAGACCTGGAAGTGGGCTTTGCTCCCCACAGAGCCCAGCCTAGAGCACCAGGGTTCACCTGGTTCCCATGTTGTAACCTCCAGGTTTGTAGGAGAAAAGTTCTCTCTCTGGACCCACAGGAACCAGAAGTGCGGGCACCGGGGCACTCTGTAAATAGCTCTGCTATTCTGGCTTCCACCACATCCTATCTGTGACATTTTAAAGCCACTCAGGAGACACAGAATTGGCTTTGGAAGCCTCAGGAGAGTCTGCAGAAGCTGGCAGGTGCATCTGGGGATGTAAGCTGATGGTCCATGGATGTGACAGTTCAGAGGATGTCCCTGGTCCACTGCTGGAGTGCTGGGAAGCTGCTGGGGACTGGGAATGGCTCTTCTTTTCCCAAAGACAAACCAGAGCCTGGTGCTCCTGCTGGCTCCTCGTGGGCTCTGTCACTGTACTATACTTGGGCTGTTAAAGCTGTCTGCTCTCGGAGACCTCAAGCTTGGTGCCAGTCTTGGGTCTCTTGGTGCCACATCTGGTGAACGCAATGCCTGCTGCACAGTCCCTACACTATCTGTGTTCATGGAACGCACATCACAAGTCCTCTGCCACTGTGCTGTCCAGCGTGTGGTCCGTGGGTAGGGATGCATTGTTGCCAGGAAGCTGAGCAGAGATTGTCAGCCTGCCCAGACCTTTAGAGGCAGAGCCTGCATTTTAAGCAGATTCCTGGGTGGCAGAGTGCTCACCCTCACTTGGGAAGCTCCATCCTAACGGGAAAGAGGCTGACTAAACCTGCAAGGTTAACCTCTGTTTCTGGCTAACTTCGGCTCCCGGGCAACCTCCATCCTGGTTACCCTGCATCCTGGCTGCGCTCTGCTCCTTGCTTCCTGAGTAGAGTTCAGATCATGAGACCCAAAAGGTGTGCAGCAAAGGTAAAGACTTGAGTCTCTTACCCGTGCCCTGGATGCCACCCCATGCTCACCAGGAGATGGCAGCTGTGGCGTTAAAGCAGCTGTTTCCATCCCATCTCAGATGACGAAAACCACTGGCACGATGGTCCCGTTTTCTGCTGGATACTTTACCTGGATGAATACTAAGGATCATGGCATGAAATTCTTTTAAAGGGAAAATCCAACTGTGCTCCACCCTGAGGTAAACCATTGACCCCGATCTTGACCCCTGTTCTGACCAGTGACCTGTAGGTCTGCATATTTCTCTACTTTCTCTGTTACTCCAAATCACATTTGGCAGCTGTCTTAGTTACTTTTCTCCTGTTGCTGAGACAAAATACCTGAGGTCCAAAATTAAGAAAGCAAAGGTTTACTTAGCTCTTATTTTGTAGAGGTTTCAGTCCATAATCTGCTGGATCCAAGGCAGGGTGCATGGCAGAGAACAACAGTTCATGGCAGCAAAAGACAGCAAATGCAGCAAGATCAAGAAGGGAGGAGCAAGAAGAGCAGACTGTCCTTTATATTGTAGGGAGGCCACCTTAGGGTAGGTGTAGCGCTCACACCCTTAATTCCAGTGTTGGACCGTGTATCATTCACAAACTCCAGAAGACTGCCTCCATGACTGCGTGAGGTTTTAGGGGGACATCTAGACACAAACCATAACATCTGCCTCTCTCTCTCTCTCTCTCTCTCTCTCTCTCTCTCATACACATACACACACACACACGTGCACTCATGTATACTCATGTGCACACATGCACACATATGCATACAGAAGTGAAAATAAAATCTAAAGATTTGCTGCTTGACATTGATCCAGGCAACTGTAGATCATCTTTTTGTGATATTTATTTGAAATTGTTCTGTTACTTTTCTTTCATCTCTTTTTAAAAATTGAGCTAGAGTTGAGGCCAGATTTAGGGGACCTGAGTCACGCATTTGCAATCTATTTTCCTCAGACCAGCTTGATGATATGGATTCTCTGCCAGCTGTGATGCTGACCCTATGCTGTGTCTGAGCTGCCTTTCAAGTTGAGCATCCAGGGCGAGGTTCACAGAGGGAGAGCTCACACAAGGGTACATGTGGGCCTGAATACTCAGACTCAGGGTCCTGGCTCCCAGAAGGTGCACGCTGACACCTGTACAGCAGATCCACTGAGGGCAGGAATCTGCCATCCTGGACATTGCTGGGTAGGGTCCCCTGTGTCCTGCAGCCCCACAAATGGAAAGGAGATTTTGGGAAGTGAAGAGGAGCTGAGACCCCACAGTCTCCATCCATGGCAGCAGGGGCAAAAGGAGAAGGACCATGGTGGCTGAAACCATGCACTGTCCTGGGCTCCCTCATTGGCCTCCTCAGCTCACAGCCTGGCCTCCCCTCCTGGATCCTGGCAGATCCTGCACTCGACCTAGAAGGTGAGTGATGCTGAGGGTACAGATCGCGGGTTACAGTTCTCAGATAGATTTTATTTGGGCTGCATCCACTAACCCTTGGCATAAGTGATTGCTTGATTAATACTGAGCAATAGTAATAGTAATAATAGTAATAGTAATAATAATAATAATAATGACAATAATGTAGTATTCTCAGCCTGACCTCTACAGGGAGTGCAGGAAATGACGAAGTCCTGGATTAACCGAAGATGGGACTGCAGAGAAACCAAGTCTTCAACACTGAAGCAAAGATTCTTTTTCCTCTTTTGAAAACCAGCAATTTAAACAGAAGGGTGGTGAAGTTTTACTATAAATTGAATTTTATTTAATATGCCTGAAATCTCAGTTTAGGGGCTTGGAGGCCGCTGTCTGCCCCGTGGTGGGGGCAGGAGAAGAAGTGCCCGCCTCTCACCAGCCCTGGGCCCCAGGTCCTGCCCCCTGGGCCTCTCTTGGGAAGTGTGACAGTCACTGCCCTGAGAACCTACGGCAGCTTCATTTCTGGGCCTCAGATGCCCAGAAGCATGGAGGAACTTGTCCCTTTGGGCTGCTGGTCATTGGTCTTGACCTCCTGCCTTCTATGGTGTGTTTTCCCCTCTGTGACCCCGAGCTTTACATAAAGCGCTGTTGGATCTCATCCAATGTCCCCCAGTCCATTTTTCGGGACTGGACCACAACCGCCAACACCCACAACTTGAAAGAAGAGAAGAGGCCATGCTTGGCTGGCTCCCTAGAACAAAGAGAAGGCCTGGTGGGAGAGAAGCTGCTCACAGCACGGGGGCCAGCAGCAGAGCGGGAAGGCAGACAGACTCTCCTGGGTCACACTCCAGTGACTGCCCCTCTCTACTGGCACATTCAGTCGTAGCAGCCCACGGTCAGTCACCTTTCAGAAGGCCCACTTGTGAGCACAGGAGGCTTTGGGGGACATTCAGAGAAAACCGTGACTCTTGGTTTACATCCCAGGGCCGAGCTCCAGGGCTCCACCGAGCCCTAGCAAGGGCCAGGCAGCCCCACCACCCCCAAAGACCATTGCAGGCAGCCTGGGCATGCACCTGCCCCAGCCTCCTGTCCATTCTGGGTGCTGTTTGGACAGCTTGGGCCCCAGGCCTGTGGAAAAGTCTCCCTGGCCTGTCCCTCCACATGGCACCCAGTGCTGCTAGGCTTCCAGGTCAGCCATCCACACCATCACTCTGACATGCTGTGGGGCTGGCAGTCCTCCGTCCTGGCATGCCCTCCACATGCTGCTACCCGCCTCCCCCACAGTTCAGATGCAGATGAAAAGCACCAGGGGCTCTTTGTGCCCCACAGACTCCTGCATGGATCTCTGGGCGGGGACCCACAGCCTGAGCTTGTGGAGTTGAGGTCAGAACAGACTCTGAGTGGACGCAAGGGGCTCCCAGTGGGAACAAGGAGGTGCTCTGTAGGCTGTGGTCCTAGGCAAACCATAACAAAGGCTGTGTCATTCTTTACCCAAAGGAGATAACTCCTGGATTTCAAATAGGTGTGATCACGACACATGGGAACACTTAAACGTTCATCGTAGTATAAGATGCTCTCCCATGCACTCCTGCCCTCATTCTCCCTTTGTTCTTGCCACTTTCAGTTGCAGTTCTGGAGTCCACTTTCCTGAGTGTCCTGCTGCCACCGAGCGCCATCCAATGGAGAGGCAGCTCATAAAACCATGGCGCTGTGTCCTTGTCCACCTCGGTCACCGGATCTGGCACTGCGGGACTGCTGGCTGTTCCCAAAGTAAAAATGACCATGAATGACACATTTGGACTGATTGAGGACATGGAGGCAGCCAGGACAGTGCAGCTAAAGACCCTCAGGAAAGAGGACTCCAGGGCTGCTGCAGGAAGCGGCAGGGACCATGGATCAGTGTGCTTCAAGGGAGGGGAAAATTCTGAGGCACGTTCATGGCAACGTAGGTCCTCATGTGGGACCTAAGGGTCCCACAGAATGAGCGGTCAGCCTGATGGGGGTCCCTTATGCCTTGGGAAAAATCGCTTTCACAGCACAGGTGACGTGAACAGTGCCAGGGCCAAGGTATACCATGAGGGGCTGGACACACTCAAGAGCACCACGGGGATCCCAGGTCCTGGCCACCCGTTGGCCACAGTGTCCCTGCAGGGTCAGCCCTGGAGCAAAGCCTGGCCTTGAGTGGGCCAGCACCTCTGCCACCTGCCAGCCAGGACCCAGCCAGCCTCTGCAGTGGGCGTCCTGAGTGCAAACCCAGTTGCTTCTCCAGAGGAAGTGACCTGAGTGGGAGGGTCGGGGCAGGTTTCTAGGGCTTCCTCCCCTCCCCTCTCCCCTCCGCCCATGCCCTTCCCCTCCCCGCTTCCCAGCCCTCCCCTTCCTGCCTCCTTCTTCCTTTCTTTTCTCTTCCTTGATCCTCTTCATAGTTACCCTCCCTTAAACACACCGCCGAAACTTTGCTGTGAAAAGTGGAGCCCACATGAGGCGTCCCTCTCCCGGGCAGCCCAGCCTGGTCCTGCTGGGCCCCATGCTCGGGTCATGCTCGGACTCGGTTTTCAGTCCTGGGACAGAGCCAATCCGTGGTTTCTTGACAGGGCTCCACATCCAGCTACAGAACCCTGGCCACGGGGCTTTGGGCCGTGATTGGAGCCAAAAAAGTAAGAGTGTGTTTGGCCCTTAATTTCTTGGGTTTCTGGAATGCTTTTCATAGCAGTGAGAAAGATGACTTTATCGGTGACCTCTGTCCACTAACTCCGCAGCAACCAGGACAACATCCAGCCGCTATGGGTGATGTAACATTTGATATTGTCTAGATCCTGGCAGGAGACAGAGCTGGGCCCACTCACAGGAAGGAGAAGCCTCTTAGCAGCCACGCTCTGACCAGGATGTCTCCGTGTCCCCCTGCCACACGTTGCCCTCTCCTGTCCCGTGGACTCCCAGAGCCTGTGGCCCTGACACCCAGCAGAAGTCAGGCAGGCACTACTCTTTCTGCTGATTCAGTACCAGGCGGGCTGGCTGTGTGCTGCTGGCCTGTGCTGCAGGTGAGGCTTTGTCTTTAGGGCTGGGGCCTAAACCCAGGGCCCTTGCACCGAGCCATGGCCCCAGGCTGTTTCATTTTTTAATTTTGAGATGAAGTCTCCTTATGTTGCTAAGTTACCCAGGTTGAGCTTGAAACTGGGGTCCTCCTGCCACGGCCTCCCTGAATACTGGAGTTAGAGGTGTGCACCCCCACACCTAGTTCCTTTGGGAGCCAAGGGTGGCGTGCAGCTATGGAGTCCTGTACAGCACCCTCTGTACAGGGAGGACCAAAGGCGGAGTCCTTCCAGCCCCTGCGGTCCACTTGTGTGGCCTTCACAGCAGGGCTCTGCACTGCCCAGCAGAGGAAATGGTGGGGGGATGGCTCTGTGGGAGGGGCAGGAGGAGACCAGAGAAGGCCAGCTGGTCAGGGGCTGCACTGGGGCACTGGGAGAGCTGGGACAGGCCACTGTGTCCATGGTCAGCAAAACAACCCAGACCCTGTGCTGGGGACTACAAGGGTGATACGAAGTGGCGACTCCCTGTGGACCAGAAGCTCCCACAGTTGTCTGGGGACTGAGCAGGTGGTTAAGCCTAGGACTGGGTCTTGGCACGTGGGTCCCTTCCCCTGATGCCTGCGGGTAATAAATGTCAGATCCTAGGATGAGCAGTGTCCACATGGTGCTGGCCATGCCTCAACCACTGTGAGAGGCCCTAGTGTCACAGAGACGGTGGTGCAGGCAGGGCAGTGGCCTAGCACTGCATCCAGCCCTGGATAATGTGTTGGGACCTGCAGTGACCGAGCAAGGACCCCGTACCCTCTCCTTGCATGCGCTCTCTCCTTTCTCCTTCTCGAGGCTCTGGTCTGGTGGGTGCGGGTGGGGCTGCCGGGGAGGCCCAGCTGTGCCCCAGAACCTGCATGCACCCCTCATCCCTCCTGGTGAGCAGCCCATGTCCATGGCTGCCCCAGGTGCAGGAATCTGGAGGTGTTGTGTGGCAGGAACAGGACCCCACAGGAGGCAGGGCTGGAGGTGTGGGACAGGCCTGGAGCCCAGCCGCAGGGCAGCCCTTACTCACTGCCTGTCGAGGGGCTGATGTGAGTCCTCGGTTCCTCTGGTCAGCTGCCTGCGCCTGCTCTGCCTCTGCTGTGGGAGTCACAGTGATTTTTGGGTGCTGATGGCCCAAATGGGGCTCCCCGCCCTTCTGTGGTGTCCCTCAAAGGATGTGGCCATTCAGTGAGAGGGACCGATTAAAACTGATTGAGAGTCCCAGGCAGGCGAGTTGTTCCTCCTTTCTCACCTTCTGCAGCCTGGAACTGACCACCTTTCCAGAGACAGAGTGAGGGCAGTGCTGTGCCCAGGGCTGTGCGCGGCGCCCCCCCCCCCCAGCCAGGAGCCAAGCACAGCCTCCACTCCTCCTTGGGGACCCAGGGGACCGACCCTGTGGCCACGCCCCCAGGCTGTGCAGACTGGTGTGTTACTGGTCTCTGGGGACATCAAGGAGGTGGAGAGGAGATGAGATGAGAATGTGGTGCCCTCCTGGGTTACAGCCCTGATGGACAGTGCTCATCCCGGGTTCTGACCGCCCTGGGCAGCTGAGAGACTGACCATGGCTCTCAGAACACAGATGGGAAGGAAATCAGAGCCGAGGCATGGTGCCCTGCATGCGTCAGTTGGAATACAACCACAGGGGCCCAGAGTTCACAGTGGGCAGCACACAGAGCTCGGCTGTCTCCACGTGCTTTGCATACTGGCCAGCAGAAGCCCCTGGTGAGTTTGCCTGCTTTCCTTTCCTTCCTCCCTTTCTCCTTCCCTTCTTCCCTTCCCTACCCTTCCTTCCTTTTCTTTTCCTTCTCTCCCCTTCCCTTTTCTTTCCTCCCTCCCTCCCTCCCTCCTTCCTTCCTCCCTCCCTTCCTCTCCTCCCCTTCCTCCCCTTCTCCTTCCTTCCTTCCTTCCTTCCTTCCTTCCTTCCTCCCTCCCTGCTCCCCTCCTCCCCTCCTCCCTCCCTCCTTGGATTCAGCCCTGAGTCTCTGCACTGAGCTCCACACTCAGTCCTTTTTCTTTTTAATTCTGAGACTGGGTCTTGCTAAGTAGCCCCTCAGGTTGAGCTCGAACCTGCATTACTCCTGCCTCAGCCTCCCAGAGTGCTGGAGTTACAGGTGTGCACCCCAGGTCTGCTCGTTTCCTTCCTTTCTCCTCTGTGTTGTGGACCGAGGAAGGAAAGGTGCAGCTCTGAATTTTCTTCCAGGGTCAGGGGCAGGGGATGCACAGACGACCACAGGTGATGACCAACGTTGTCTACTTTTTGCAAGAGACCTTGAGCTCAGATACCTTCGCAGCATAGCTGTGGTATTTTAAAATGGTAACCTCTCTGTCCCTCTTTTTTTCTCTCTCATCATGTATATGTTTGGTCTTCTGTGATGTGAGAGAGAAGAGAGAGGAAACAGAAAGGAAGGAAAGAGGCCTTTACTAAGGGCACGAGAGGGCTGCCAGAGAGATGCAGGCTCATCTGGAAGCTTGGGGTGGGAGGGGGGCGGGGAGGCGCGGGCCTTATTTGGAATTTGATAGAGGGCGGAGTTAAAGGGGCGGGTGGAATGACGTACTGACAGCTGATTGGAGGAGCCTTTGCGCATGC